GGGTCTGGTGTGTTTTTCTTCATGGTTTGAATTTAATACAGAACTGACGTCTATGAAACTTATTAGCTAGGTATCATCACTGAAATCCTTTTGTGTTACATTACAAAAACAAAGCTCGCTAGCTCCTGCATTTTTAATGTATTGTGTTGGGATTCAAGCACCAGATTCTCATTAAAGTTAATGAGAACTGAACAGAAAAAGCCATGCACAATGCTTTGAAAATGTCGGGAAGGAATAAGCTCTGTTCTAGGAAGTGGAATTTACCACAAATGATTCAGAGGGCTACAGCCGCTGCAGCTTTTTCCAGCCATTTTAGTTATACAGTAATATTCTGGCTGGTGATTTTACTGAGGCAAACACATACATCTGATACACTAATGCTGTTGTATGAAGAGACTCTCTTTTAGGAGTCTTTTGGAGTGCAGTGTAGGCATTAAGTCTTGAAATAACATTGATCATTAAGCTTTCTTGCTTCCATAGTGTGTGGAAGAAATCAGGCATAGTCAGTTTAAATATTTTAGCTGATTTCTGTATTTCCTGTGCAGTAAACTCCCAGGGATTTTACTGGCAATTTTGGATGAGCAAGGAGTGCAGAACTGTCCTTATATCTTCCCAGACTGTTCATTCAAGTAACAGGTGTAAAATGCATCCATGTACTGGACTTTGTGTAATAACCTAGTAAGTAACCAAGAAATCTCTGTAACTTTGCTAGATTATTAAGAGCAAATGGAGAAGTAACCATTGAAATTCCAACAAAAGCGTGTGAAGGTCAAGAGAATTCTGTTACATCTCTGGAGCATGTGCAGTTTGAAGCAACAATTGAATATTCCCGCAGAGGTGATCTTCATGTCACTCTCACTTCCCCATCAGGTATAAGAGGCAAACAAACGTGATCAAAAAAGTGATTAGTTTCTGCTGTTGCAGTGTAAGAATCTAAGAATCACTTTAGCTCCCTACTGTAGAAATGGCTGAATTACATTCTAGGAAAAATAATTACTTCCAAAAAAGTACATGCTTGATGTAGTGCTCAGTGATCTCTCAGTACTTCAGGACCTTGCAAAAACTTTATTCTATGTCCAGTTCTAACTGACTGTGCACAACAGCAGAGCTTAAGAACCCCCTTCCCAGACTTTCTGACTGGGAAACTCAGGCCTTAAAAGCCCAGATCCTCAATGCCACTCCTGGAGGAATCATATGCAGAAGGCAGGGATTTGGCTGCCTATGTGCCACTATCTATTTCCATGTCTTTTAAGGTATTATTGAAAACAAAAACTTCAAAATAGTGAGTGAAAATTATACTGAAAGTAGGGTTGCCACTTATCCAAGTTTTCCAATGATTATCTCTTTTGTGAAGTAACTCTCCTGAGAAGCTCTCCACTTTTTCCAGCTCAGACTCACTCCAGATGTTTCATTTTTTTTGTACCTCAGAGGTGGCAAACCTCAATGAAAATCCTACTGTGGAGTTGGAAACAGTGACTGAGGCATCATTTTCTGATATCCCATATTCCAGAGACAAGACTTCTGGATGTAATGCCCCACATGCTTAAGGGGGTGGAAAAACTACCCTCTGCACATCAAGCTACACCAGTCTAACCCCTGGTAAAGATTCAGCAAGGTTGATGAAAGAGTGCTTCTGTTCTACCTAGCTACCACTGATCAGGGAACCAGTGTTCCTACAACAGTGGGAAAACCCTTTCCATCACTGTAGGCTGTGCCTGCACTATGGGTTATGCCACTGCCAGCATAGTTATAGCACCTCAGCTGTGCCACCGACATTCATGTACTGTAGACTTGGCCTGAGTACGAGACTGTTCTACACTTAAAATTTAGAAGCTTCAGGAGGTAGCCGTGTTAGTCTGTACAGGATAAACTTAAAAAACAACCAGTAGTCTGGTAGCACTTTATAGACTAACAGAACATGTAGATGGTATCATGAGCTTTTGTGGGCACAACCCACTTAAAAGTTAGGTTGACATAGATACAGTGCTCAGAAGTGTAGAAAAATTCATATCCCCAAGACATATAGCTGTGCCAGCCTTACTTCTGGGCAACAGAATTCTTCTGTCAAGCTAGCTACCACAGTATTTGGATTAACAACCCTTCTATCATTGTATGAGGTGCCTACACTTCAGCACTACAGGAGCATGGATGTAATACCACACCAGTGCTGCTCAAGTGCCTATAGTGTAGGCATTACTTAAGATGCACCCCACACTCATTGAAAACACAGTGATAATTTAATAGGGTTGCCAATTTTAGTTGGATGTATTCCTAGAGAGTTAATCACATGACATAATCTTTAATTAAAGATTAATCTTTAATACCAGGAAACTGCATGCCAGTCTTGGAGGGCCGGCAACCCTAGTGATAAATTTTGTTCTTGTTTACACCCATGCAAACATTGTGAGCAGAATTTGACCCGCAGAAGTTAAAATGCTGAAAGCTTTCCCCAGATCTGTTTTTTTTTTTAATTTTACTCAACAGCATCAAACTCTTCCTTTGTGGATGTATCTCTCTGTCTAGTAGGGTGTGAGAGCCTTGCTGATGTGATTTTGATATTCCATGACAACTCCTGGATTAACTGCAAACCTTCTGCAGCAAAGCCTGCTTTGAAAATGATTTAATAGCTAATTCCAGAAGCAACATGGTCCCACCCTGTAATCAAACCAAAAGCAAATATAAAATAACACCTGCTCCAGGTGATAGTTTGATAGTATGAAAGATAAAGAGAGCCTTGTATCAACAGGCCAATGATCTATTCAGTCTTGAAGAAAGCCCAGGTATTGTCTAGTAAAGTGGGCAGTTCTTGATGATAGGCAAAAATCTCTAAAAGGTGATGAATGGAGGGTAGATACAAGGGGAAGATTTATGGAAGTTGTAGTTCAACTATGTCCATGGATGCTCACTAACTCCATGAATGTTTGTTTGTTGCACTTAAAAAGGTACCAACACTGTCTTACTGGCTGAAAGAGAGAGAGATAAGTCTCCCAATGGCTTTAAAAACTGGGACTTCATGTCTGTCCACACATGGGGAGAAAATCCAAAAGGCACTTGGACTTTGAGAATTACTGATGTGGTAAGTACATATATGTGTGCTAATTAGCCAGGTACATGAGTAGAACACATAGACCAGAGATCACTAACATTATCCAGTAAGGAGACCAGCTGAAGTTTGTTTACTGAGAAACTAACAAAATAGTTTATTTAAAAACACAAACCAAACATGCACTTGGATAAAAGTGGAAAGGGGCATGCTAATGAGAGAAACTTAAGATATAGGCACATTCATTTGTCTATTATGTAAGTGTAAAAGCAGGGTAACTTCATAGAGGTGCAACTGTCAGCAGAATTTAGCTTTTAATATATTTATTACAATGTACATATTTACATGGATGAAGAATAACCATTTAATTCCGTCTTTATGCTATTTTGGAGTGGAATTTGTAATGAATTACTTGCAAATTTGGGGAAGTAAAGCACAAGGAAAGGTCTAGTCTCTTCTTGGTATAATTTTCATTGACTTAAAAGCTTGAGAATGTATTAATTCCTGGTCACCTCAGAGAGTAATTCTTATGTATATCTTCCCCTATATTCTCTCTCAAAGTAATGAATGACCCACAAGGATTATAGCCAAGAAATCTGGAGATATATAATACATGTTTACTAAACCTTATGAGAATATGGATTAAAGCAGTGAGAGGTCTGTGGAGAAAGCCGCTTCTTACATGACTGAGATATCATTCTCTTTAATTGGAGGATCAGCATATAGAGAAGTAGATGGTGCAATGTGGAATGAGAGGAGTTTGCAAACAGCAGGGTAATCCAAAGCACATAGCAAGTGGAGAAGGCAATAACAATAATATTCTTCATGCTACCTGCAGGACTTCTGGCTTGTCAGATAATCCTGTTATTAGAGGTGCCTTAATAATTATCTCATTGTAACAAGGCATAACATTTCTTGCAATGTATATAAGAAGAGTATTTTGTTTTTAATTAAATGGATAGTCATGTTCCATTTTCAAATACAAGATCCCCAAACAATCTCACAAACCCAGCCTCCCACTTCCTGAAAAACAATGCACCTTTTCTTCAGCTTCTGTCACCCGGGCCTTTTTTTTATTCCAGAAACAGTTTCTCATAATACTGACTCCTACCGTAGCTACTCCGTGAGAGCCTCATTTAGATTTACTGCTAATTTTAAAGTGTTAGTTGCCTTTAAATCTCAAGGCCAGTAATAGTGGCTTTTCTTAGACTAGGTGGATTGTCAGCAGCTGCCTTAGTTCAGGCAGACAGTTGAGCAAGAATTCCAAAGATGATGTTGTTTAAAACATGTTTCAGAAAACACACTTGCCTTTTCCCTTATCAGATTTTAAAATCACTCTTATTATACAGTGATGTTCCCAAAATCTAGTGTGCACAGTAGTGAGCAGTGTTTCAAGGGTACTATTATATGTTGTTAAAAATCTGTTGCTAACAGGGCAGAAATCTCTGTGCAGTGTCTCAGAGAGCAAATTCTGACAATATGAAATATCTGGTTTAGTAATTTTTGACATTGTGCTGTATTGCCACTTGTAATGACCACACTTATTAATGAGCTAGTGAAAATTATTTAAAACATATGTATTTTCAACACATTTGGCGTAGCTTAGAATCACTAGACTAATTTTCACTTACTGCTATGTATCATATATTATATTATCATACCAGAAATATCTTTCTGTGCTTGCAATTCAGCATCTAAATTTACATTTTAAAAGTATTCTAAACCATTCCTGTGACTCTTGTTTTTGTTGACTGGAACTATCCTCTTTCTTTGTCTCTCTTGTCCCCTGACTCTACACTAATACAATATTCATGCTTGCTCTTTAGTCTAGGAGAATGCAGAATGAAGGGAGAATTGTGAACTGGAAATTGATTTTGCATGGCACATCTACCCAACCTGAACACATGAAGCAGCCACGTGTATACACATCCTACAATGCTGTGCAAAACGACAGAAGAGGAGTAGAGAAGATGGCAGACTTTGTAGAGGTATCAGTCACTTTGTCGTGTTACTAATGACATATGAGGCACAAATGATCAGTTTATCAGTTCTAAAAATGAACTATCCACTCAGTCTGTACAGAAGCTGAATAGGGTGGGGGGAATCTCTCCAACAATCAAGCTGAGCGTTAGGATCTTGTCGCTTACAGTGATTAAAATGGAAATAGCATCTGGCCCCAAAAGAGCATGCCAGCTCTGGTGCCTGCTGTGAGTTTTGGCATGAAGCATCCCACAAATGGTTCTATGTTGATTTAGGGACCTTCTTGTGATCTTAAATGTTGTTCTGATAACTAGTGTTGTTGTCTCCAGTTCCTTTTTATCCTCTTCCTTTGCTTGGAGGTGAACTGCTAATGATTTATGAAAAATATAAATGTTTCAAGCCTCTGACTGGCTGTCAGTGCCAGATTCGAATGATTGTAATACTTCACACTTTTACAGTACCACTTATCTGAAAGTCTTCAGAGCACTGTATAGGCATCAACTATACAGTCTCACACCACTCTTAGTAGGTAGATTGGCCTATCCATAGGATATATAGATATCAATCACAAGTGGCAATGTACATACCAACAGTGCACAATAGCGTATAATTTGAAAAGAAGTAAAACTTTATTCAACCAACACTGCAGGGGGAAGTTGGTGGGCAGAATGTCTCTGAACCTCATTTTTGTCTCTCATCTGAAACAGCACCTCCAGCAAAACTTTATTGGCTATTTTGGGGTATTAGTTTATTCCTGCTTGAAAGGGGAAAATGCCAACTATTGAGTCACCACTTCATGCACTGCCTCCTTAGAGGTTCTTTTTCCAAGTTTGTACCTAATCCAATTGTGCTTACGTTTAAAAATCTGCAGGTATTACTATAAAATGTAGGATGGTAGGTAGGTACATAGAATACATAAACAGCTAGTAGAATCCAAATTTAAACTTTTATGATCTTTTAGTTATTTGATATATTAAATATTTTGCACAAGAGATTTGCAATCCTTTTCCTGGTTTCAGTGGTTCCTAAATGATCAAAGCAGCATTTATTCATATGCACAAATCCCTGTTCATAACAAGACCTACTTCAGATGTCAGCAAAATGCTTACTAATACTTTTGGGCCTGTTCTGTATTTTAGGATCATACCACACAAGAGAACCTGAGTGAAAAAGCCAAAGTCCCAGAAGATAGCAGCAGCAGCAGCACTGATAAAATGGGAAACAAAATCCCATCAGAGGCAATGCTTCGTCTGTTGCAAAGTGCTTTTAGAGGACACATGACCCAGGATCGAGTACCAAAGAAGACTCCCAATGAAAAGATAAATATTCCATACGAACATTTCTATCAAGCCCTTGAAAAATTAAACAAACCCTCCCAGTTAAAAGACTCTGAGGACAATCTGTATAGTGACTACGTTGACCTTTTTTACAATGCCAAACCATACAAACATAGAGATGATAGACTGCTGCAAGCCTTGGTTGATATTCTGAATGAAGACAACTAAATGTAGAGTATGGCACTGAGTTGGAAATATTCATGCTCCCCATCCCCACTTGCCCTTTTCTAAAGTATATTCTACACTTTACTCATGTGATTACTACTTTGATTGCTTCGTACTTAATCAGGATGTCCAAGTAGGGTGAGAAAAAGATAGGAAGTGTAATTTGTTAGTGGTGAGGCACTAAGCTGAAGGGTATCAGTGATTGCTCTATTCAAAGCATGTCTTCATTATCACCAAAAGAGGCAATTTCTGACATGAAATTCAACTATGTTCCTCTGAAAACACTAAAACTCCACTTCAAACGCTTTTTCCTTTCCCTGTTGTTTCCCACTTATCAGGCAGCTCCTGTAGCACTGGCAGTTCTGTTCAAATCCACTGCCTGCTAAAGGAGTAAAAGAGGAAGGAATAGGTAAGGGCGGGGGAGGATGAAAATAAAATGTGAGTAAGAGGAGGCAGCAGTCAAATACAAGGAAGAGGAAAGTGAAAGGTCAGAAGTCAGAAAAGAGAGAAGGGAGAGAAGTATGGAGAGAACTCCCTCAGAATGGTAGCAGCAACTCTTGTCAAGTAAAGTGCTGATTCATTTGTGGAGAGTGGCTAAGTGGAAGGACGCAGATCACCTTATCCTATGGTAGGAAGACAATATCTGGAACAAAATGGCTGAGTGATAGTGGATGTCAGAGTAGGAATATTACCTTTATTTTAATTGAAATCAAGACTGGATACGGGGTGCTGGAACAAGGAGTGGTGGGGCTGTGGCAGCACCCCTTGGCTTGAAGTGGTTTCCATAATATACAGGATTTAAAATTCTGTTCAATGATTTTCAGCACTCCCTGTATAAAAATTGTTCCAGCACCACTGGATGGGTGTACTTCTTGTTGCTCTCAGAGTCCAAAAAATAGCACACAGCCAAATATCCAGTTACAAATTTGATGGAACCCTGGACAGGGGAATACAAAGACTCTAAGTGAAATGGAAAATGCAATGTTTCTCTACCATGCCAAAGATATTTGGATATTAACTAGATGTTACATCTCTCTATCTTTCTATTTATGTTTTCCAAATAGATTTGAGAAATACTTGTCACTCTTCAGTATCCCCATTTCTTAAGTGATGCTGGTACCTCTCAAACTAAGAGCTTAATGTTTTGTTAATATTTCATCAGATTGAACACAGGCTTTCAAAGCTGTTGTGAAATACTATTGTTTAAAACAAAACCTGGTTACTTTCAGAATAGCTACTGTTAAATTAATCAGTAAAAAGTAGCATGACTTCTTTTATAGCAACTTTGAAATTCTCTGATTTCTCATTCATTGCCATAGTAGCATACACTTTTAGAGCCTAATTCTGCATGAAGCCAGCTTTACACTGATGTAATTCAATTGATGTAAGGAATTTCTCCTGATTTACACCAGCATGAGTGAGAGGAGAATCATATTATACCTACTTCTCCAGGTGGTGACTTCCTGTTTGATCTGTTCTTTGTTTCTGAGCCTCCTCTTATCTCTGTGCTAATTTGCAACATTTTCTTTAGCATGGGAAGTGGTAAAAATGTTGAAATGGTCCAAACCAAAAAGCATTCTCATGATGATCCTTCATTGTACTAGCATTTAGAGAGACAGGCTGTCACAGATGAGATGACTGATCTTGATTAATTTGAGAAGCAGGCCTAGGTGGGGGAAATGCAGGGTAATTTCCAGTCATATTTTAATTTTTGGAACTGGAAGCTACCTTGTAAAGAATACAACATTGCTAGGATGTGTATCAAACTGCATGAATAATTGATTGTCTGGTTCACTGGCAATTCCAAATTTTTTTTCTCCTATTTGGCCCCAAAAATAATTTCTCATTTAATCAAAAACAGAAAAAACTGTTTGGGTCAAACATTTTGTTTGACTCCACAGGAAATGCTTGAAATTGAAACAAATATATATTTTAAAAAACAACAAAAGCAAATGAACTTTCAAGTAAAAAGGCACATGAAATCGAAAATCAAAACGTTTCACTTTCAATGTTTTCTTTGGACTTTTTTTATTTAGAGTTTTTTTTTATATGAACTATTAAGATAAAATCAAATCTGCTAAATATTTTTGGTGTCACCAAATCAGCATTTTTTGCCAGACACAATTTCAAGGCAAAATTTCACCTAGCTCTTGTGTCAGTCAAGTACTATTAGTGTGTCAAGATTCTTAGAGGCTGCTTTCTGCAATGAACAGCAGTAACAGCTAGTCCTTGTTACAGGTGAAAATGATTACTGCACACCTTTGATTGCAGCAACCACAACAATGGCAAGTCCATTAATGCAGTGCTCATGTTAACTATGTGAAATATATATGACCCTTCATTTGCTTTAAGATCAGTCATCATGCTTTAGCCAAAGTTTAATCAGAGAGCAGCTTTAAAATTAACCTGCTGAAAATCTCTCTAGAATCTTTCCAACCCAGAGTATATTGCACAGACGTAAATTATTTTTATTGTTATTCTTGGTGCCTGTGTGGGTTTTGTGAAAATGTAAAAGGGAAAAAAGAGAAATGTTTTCTCTCAGAATTTTAAATTATATTTTCTTTACAGCTATTTATAATATATCAAAGGTTTTATCAGACAGAATTTTAAAAGGCATAATAAAATATATTAAAGCACCAGATTTTTCTTGAAACTGAGACAATTTCATCCAATAAAGTATTTTTAAAAGGCATATTCCAACTACAGCTGCAACATGTATGTGATGTAATGTTAAAATTACATTTGTCTAATAATAGCATAATACAGTATGTTAGCAGAGCCCAGAGTGTGTGGTCTTAACATTTTTAAAGAAAACAAGACAGAGACAAGTTATAGATTCATTTAGCTGGGAAATAATGAAATTTAATTAGATTTACAAAGGATGAGTGGCCCCATCTCAGAGAGGGATGGTGGGAGAAAGAATATAAATATATATTTTGTTGTATGCAGAGAATTTACAAAGGATTCTTCTGGCAATGCCGAAGATGATTTTGTGGGAATCTTTCATCATTCACGTCAACAGATGTTTTGCCATTGACTGCAGTGACAAGAAGATCAGTCCATGTGGAGCTGAAATATTAAAACATTCTGTTTGCCTGCATCACTAACAGAAGCACATGTCTTGCATGTACCAACTCACTCATCAAGTCACATGCATATAGATCTTAATTTTTTCACTGCCTTGCTTTAGAACAGCAACATTTAACATCTGTTTTGCAAAGATGGTAAATTACAGCCAAAGATGCAAGGCAGTAGACCATCAGGTCCTTTTACAGTCTAACAGTAAATTGTCTGTGTAGAATTTTCTTTGAAGAGGGGAACTCCTGGCTGATAGAAGCATAGAGTCATGGCAAAGAAGGGCAAGGCGAGCTTTAAGGTAGTCAGGCTGGACAGGGTCAGGGTGGAAGGCAATTTCACTATATTCTCTGATGACATATGGCTCATTAGGGACCATATAGAGCAGACTCTAGGCTGTTCTGATGTTAACACCAAACCAGCTCAGTCAGGAAGATGTAACTGACTCCATAATGTTCCCCTCACCCAGTCACTACTGTAACAGTAGTTCTTATGCATAGGGGGGAAAACTGACTTTAAATCTTAGCTTTCTAGATTTAAGCTAGGTGGAAGATTTAAACACCTACTATCTGACACCTTATATGCCGATATATGACCTTACAGAAGTGACAATTGAGTGTTCATTTCTGTGTAACTAGGAATAGGAGGAGGCAGCAGGTGAACCATTACAACTCACAGATTTCTGTTGAAACAGCAAATTAAATTCTCCCAGTACCATTTTGCAAATATTACAGGTTTGGGGAGGCAATAGCCTCCTAATGTTTGCAGTATTCTGTTTTGAAAATAAATGAAAAAATTCTAGGGAAAGCTTTTCCAATAATTTCAGAAGTGTTATTGTGATTAGGGGAGTCTAAATCAACTAAGTCATTACCTACAGCAAAAAACATTGCTAGACAATCAGATGTGTCCTTTTATAATGCCCTTTTTTTCCTGAGAGCTGTGGATACACCCAGCCCCAGGAAATGAGAACTCAACAACTACTCATTCAAATAAATTGCATTCTAGAGAGCTCCTACAGTGGGAAATGTATATTTTCCCTTCAATCAGTCCCTTAAACATTGACAGGTAAGTCACAGATTGAAAAGACTCATGCTTCCATCCCATTAGGCATAAATATAAATAATTTAAGCGAACGCTTTGCACGCTAATGACAGACTCTTATTAAAAATATCATTTTGTTCTATTGTCACAATTTATGGGAAAATGGAAGTGTTGTTTCAAACTCAACAAATACCTAATGTAAAAAATGTAAACCAAGTACTGTCAAGTTACATTAATATACTGGAGAAAATAGAAAGATGGGGTATAAAGAAATAGATAGTTATCAGGAAAATAGCTCTTAATGGTTATATTATTTCAGCTATTTAGATCTATATGACCACATGTAGCTGAGAGTAAATCTCTTTTTCCTGTTGTGACATTCTTCACCAAGAATAAATGGATTTGCTGTTATTTTATGTTGTAACATTTTGTTTAACTATGCATGTATGTTATCAGTCAGTGCTCCAAATCATTATTATGCAATATAACACCATGCCTCATGTTCTGATAAGGAGATGCATTTAGAACTAAAGGCCTGCAATTTTACTTACCATGATTTGCAAAGCGCCTCTGTGAAATAAAACAATAAAGGTTAGACTAAAAATCAAACCATATGTCAGCTCCATTAAATGTGGTGAATTAGTGCAGTTGTCTTACATTTTAAGAACAAGAAGGCTATAGTGCATGACACTGCAAACATCCAAGAAGAAAAAGGCATGGCCAGTCAATAGCTCAGTCAACTACCCTGGGGCTCAGTTATTTAAAAAAAAGATATTTAAAACAATTTTAAAAGCTGTAGCTATTAGTTTATCCTTATTATTCAGTAGTATTTCAATGGTTTGGCTTTTGGACTGATACAGCATGCCTGAAAGATGTTTTTAAAAATACTTAAAGATGTAAAAAGCAGCCTTTCCATGACAAAAAATGTGTTTGTCCTGGGCAGAGTGGGGCCTGACTCCTATTAAGAGAGCCAGTTACCCCATGACAATATTTAACCACCAGCTTCCATCAGTTTCTCTTCACTGTTGGAGAACACTTTAACCTGCTGGGGCACTCATTAATGGATCTCAAAGTCACCATGTTGTTTCAGGCCAATTCCACAAGCCAAACACACAGGGAATAGTTGGAACTTAACTTCATTTACAAGTTTGATTCCTATCAGAGAGGAATGAATAGAGATATAGACTGGCTGGCCCACTACCTTCCACATCCTAATGACTTAGCCAAACAAACAAACAATGAGTACTTAAAGAGGTTCAAATTGTTCTTCTCAGCCTCTTGAACAATCTAATTCACTACTTTTTAAATCTTTTTTCTCCCTCCCCGCCCCCTTCGATTTCTCCCCCTCCTCTGCCTTCCCTTATTTATTCGTGGATCTGGATTTTTACTACTCCATTCAGCTGAAGAAGTGGGTTGTGCCCATGAAAGCTCATGATACCATCTACATGGTTTTTTAGTCTTTAAGGTGCTGCTAGACTATTCATAGTTTAAGTGCTTCCTATAGTGAATTATTATGCACGAGATCCCATTGCTTGTCTATATTATCACTGTATCTGTGAAAACTGATGTCACATGTCATACTGCTTTGAAGAATATCACATTACTACAGCAGTCTTTTTCTTTACTATAATATGCAGGGGAGGGGAAACTCAGGAACCACGTCCACATTATAGTAAACAGCACTTTATGTAGCGCAATAGATTTCTAGCCTTTTTTTAGATTCCAGGCCACACCCTGCTCCTGCTGGCCCAACTAGTGAGTATTGCTCAGTATGATTTCATAATCTGCTCATTAAAGACTTCCCAAAAATGGACATCACACAGCAATAGGCCAGTCTTTAGTACGTGTAAAGTGTGCCAGAAAAAGAATCCTGTCAATACCAGCTAGAATTAGAAACTGACTAATGGACTTTGGAGCTCTGGATACTAATGGTGACTCAATGCTATAAGCTATCCTGAATCCAGGTCAATAATGCTCAGTCAGTTAATGGCCTGATTGTTTGCCTTATTTTTCTTAACAAATCCCATTTCATAATAGTAAAGACATTCTGTCAGAGTATCTGAGGGCAGTTAGTGCACTTCTTAGATGATTAAAGTTACTTGACCATTGGCCTTTATAGTGCCACGCCACCCATAATTACTTAGGCATGAACTATTATATTTTATTGCTGTCCTCCTGTGTCTATCTCCTGTATAAGGCTCGAGATTTATCAAGCCAAACTGATACTTCAATTAGAGTAGTTCAGAGAAAATTATACTGCATTTTCTTAGCTTAGCAGGATAGATTGTGTCTTATGCATTTTGAGCTCCATTATTATCTGTCAGAGATAGTAAAGATCTAGTAGATGATTCAATCTATTTCCTTTCATCTAAGGCAGCACTATACCCAACTGCACATTTTATAGTTTTCTATCCCGTTTAATTTCAAAAGTGTCAAGTAGCTGAGCTTCTAGCACTTCACCTGGAAACCTCATTCCACGAGGAGTAACAGTTAATTCGAACTAAGGGGTTTATCTCAGAATCCCACTTCTCTGCCGCGTGTAGATGCAGGCAGTTACTTCAGGCTAGTCAGTTTCCAAAATGGCGACCGGCCAGGTCTATGCTAATCAAACGTGGGATATTTAAATCCTGCACTTCATTAGCAATTTCGGTCGCCCTCATTAGCCTCCCTAGTTCAAACTAGGGGCTAGTGTAGATATACCCTTTGGTTGTTGCTTTTCCAAGGCAAGCCCTAATAACTAAGCTGTTAAATGCTTTTAATCTTTTTTCATAGATAAATCTATCCTAACTACTCACAATCACTTTTATTGTTGCTTTCTGAACTTCCAATTTGTTTAATATATTTTTGGCAGTGAATGTCCCACAACTGAAGACAATATCCTGGGATGAACTGCATAAAAGTGAGGTAGGAAGAGACTTAACCTCTCTGCCTTATGGTGCAGACCCAAATTGCTTTGAGCTTTGTTGCAACCATTGTATACCTTGCTGTCCATTATCATCTCTCTCTCTCTTTGGGTATGTCTACACAGCAACGTTATTTCAGAATAACTGAAATAACATAGTGTGCATTTACATTACAAGCCTTTATTTTGAAATAATGTCGAGCTGAAGGACTTCTTATTCTGATTCATAGTAACCGAGTAAGGAAAATCGAAGGAAAAGTGGTTCTTCCTTCGATTTCCTGCTGTGTAGACAGTGCCTAAAGCTGAGTTAAGTTGAAATAGCTTAAGCTATGCAATTATTGTAGCTCAAGTTGTGTAGCTTAATTTGACTTTAGCCCTGCTGAATAGATGTACCTGTTCAGTGCTACTGCTTCTGTGTTTCTTTTGCACTGTGTGTATTTGTTTGTTTTTCTAAGGTGAGGCTCTATTTGTTTTCTGCCCATGTTTTTCATCTCTCTATTGTCCATTATATTATTTTTTAGTTCTTAGTGATGTTTGTTACTCTTCCCTACTATCAGGTTTCATTGCCTTGTTTACTTCCTTTGCCAGATAATTAATGAAGATATTGAATAAAATGAGTCCTAACACCTGTCCCTGCACTATTCTATTAGACAAGTCTCCCTAGTCTGGTGTATTGCCATTTCATTTATTTTTGGTGTTTTAGTCAGTTTCTATATGAATATCTTACAGAGGCCAACTTGCATGAACTTATTAGTGATTTAATTA